GTAATTGTAATTTTGTCAAATTCTCTATAAAACAAAACCTCATATTTAGCGAATCGTTGTTACATTAAGCAAGAAACATATGAATCTAGTAACTATGGAATTCGAGTTTGAAAAGAGAATTATTTCTACGGTACAGGTGATTATGCATATTATCATGTAACGTTTGGTCCCGTCATTGTTCTCTGACTCATTATCACATCTGAAGCACTTACGAGTACATATCATTTCCAACAATTGAAAGTTAAATTTCCTGTTAAAAACTAATGTATAGTATGAGTTGATCTACATCGATTTCCCATCGGATTATAAGCTAAACATCTCATTGATTGTGAAGAAAATGATCATTCCAAAGAAGCACTGCTCTATATGTGGAAGGCTGTAAATATACTGGTTTTGTAGGTCAATATCTCAAACCAACGACAACTACTTGGAAACTCATCTCAAACCGGCTGGGAACACAATCAAGAAACAAGATAATTTAAAGGTAGAATCACAAAACGTCAATTAAATTTACACTAACAATGGAAGAAAACTAAATCAGGAAAATGCAGTGATGATAAGAAAAACTAGACAACTGTTCAGAAGTATCATAGAAAAAATTATTGGAAGTTAGCTGCTGATAATACTATTTCAGTAAAGATGGAGCTATGATCCACTCTCAGTCCGGAAGATTGCAAAGATGACTGGAATACATTGAGGGGAGCACTTAAGCTAGTCTCCAATAACTAGTATTCTCACATAATATTTATGAGTGATCAATATGAGTCCTTTAAATCTTATCGAGATTGAAATAGTCATAGGTAACTCGGATTGAGGGAAATCAGAAGAACCTAGTGAATTAAATACAGATGTCTTTGAGAACAGAGATCCAGTTCAAGAAGTTGAGCTGAGTGAAATAATAACCTGAGTATTGCAATTAGATATAATCCTGTATAACTGATCTTGATATACAGTTGTCTCAATTTCTAATAAAAGAAGCAAATTATCTCGTGATAGCTACAGAGGAATCATTTTGATTAACATAATATTTGTATAACCGCTATCCAAAATCATCCGATGGTTAAATTAAGCTCATAAGTAACGAACATGAGTAAATCAAGTCAGTTCCAGACGTAACAGTGGATGTAATGACCAAGTCTTTATCTACTGACAGGTTTAGAACATAAGTATGAATAACGAACCTCACTGTTCTCATATTTGTAACCTGAAAGATGGACTTAACTGCGTTAATAGAGAGGACTTGTTATAGTACTAGTTATTAAAGAGTAAAGTTAAACGGCACTTAAAATTATTAGAACCTCTTTACTTAAATATTAGTGATCAAGTCAAAGCTTATGAAGAAACGACACCTCACTATCTCCTCTTTCATTTCATTTCGTTATTGATTTACTCTTAGAAATGAAAGTTTAACACAAAGATCCAGAAACTGATCTCTTTTCTGAAGATTCACATGTTTTAAAGTATCCAGATGACATCATTGAGAATGCTGAAAAAGGTGCAGCGACCTTCAAAAGCTACTAATCAACAACGTAAGAATGATTGAAATGTGTATCCCTACAAAGAAACTGTTGGGGACGATAAATTCCCCAAAAACTCACATTATAATTTTATCGATTAACTTATCGATTAAATGTTTAAATATTTGAATAGCAATCAACTGATGAACTTATTGACGAATGTTTAAAAAAAATTTAAATGACAATATCGATTATATATATTTGTATATATATGTTTTAAATTGTTTTGGTTGGATGACTCATTTCTGGTGGTTGCAGAATATATTTTTCATTTCAAGCCGGGACTTCTTCCTCTAGTTAGCTGGGCTGGGACGCGTCAATAGTTAGCTTACTGGTCTTGGTCATCAAATCGCGTTCTCGTTCGCAAACTACGTGAACCCGTGATAGCTCTCTCTCTCTTTCAAACATAACAGAAACGGAAAATGTTACTTCAGGAATAGTTTATATCAACCCCTAATTTGATCGTAGGAAGTTGTATAGTCGGGAGGCTTGGAAGCTTCACCCTTCTTAAGAGTTCTACCGGCAATTTGATTCACGTGCTTTTTGAAACTCACAACCTTGATATATTTGGATTTTAATGTTGATGTTTCTATTGAAACTCACTCGTAATGCTTTTCACTTTTTAAGTCAGAACACTATATACTTGGTTACTGTAACACGATATCTCACACCAGTTCAAAGAGTATGATATAATTAACGAACTGGAAAGGTTTCAACTCCCCGTCAATTAACAATCATATTTTAATATTAAAGTACACAAAAACAAATGTGAATACCACTCTGGATAATAAATCATTATTACTAGGGCAGGTTAAGTGTAAGAACAAATCGTTTTTGAACACATAAAGTGGATTTCAATTTCCGTATAGCCAAAGCTTCAACCTCAGTATACATCCTTGAAGGCTTTTGTACAACACTACAAACGCTGATTTGATGTCAACCTTATGACCAGTCTCAATCAAATGTTTCGCAATGGAGGATGACTTTTGTCTATCCTGTAATCTTATTTGACCATTGGAATCCATTTGTTTCTGCAACCATTTTGGTATGTGTTCAGCCACCCTTAATTGCAAATCACGATTGCTCCTGCCTGTGTACGTGTACATGTAGATTGATAGACGCAATGGGATGTGACACAATCGCTTTCGTGCTGTTTGGGCTTTTGGTGAAACATAGACCTTATCTTTTCAATAATGACAAGTTGGGCTGCATAAAATGTCCGGTTGATAGCTAATTTAAGTCTTCGTTTCAACATGAAACTGTTTGTGTCACCTCTGAATGATAACCTAATGTAAACTCACTTTTTGGGTGCTAGAAGCTTTATAGGTCTAGTCGTATCATATTTTTGACTTTGAAGTAATAGACATTATGTTCGAGTCTCATTAAAGATATGAATATTGTAATTCAAATACATTCAAATGGTAAATCATTATTGGGACAAGACAAACAAATCTTGGAGTTCATAACATGTCACTGTCAGCATATATCATACAAATGTATATATGATTGACAGAAAATGTAAATAGACGTGTGACTAGCTTATTATTATTATTATTATTAAAATTATAATCAATACACGAATGAACAATTACAATTTAAAAAACAAAAAAAAGTTAGCAGACGACTATTTTCCTTCACAAAAAAGTCGAAAGCAAATAAAACTTTAAGCAGAAAAATTAAATAAAAAAACTATTTTATATGAATGTAGAATAGAAGAAAGAAAAAGGTGAAAAGTGACAACGTTAATTAACAACAAGAAAAGTATAGATTACGTATAATAATATAGGCTTATTTAATTTTAGAAAAGAAATTACATTTTTCAAATTAATTAATATGAAACCGAATGAATATATAACTGACACTTATAATAAGTTAACATTCAAGAATAACACTACATTATGATTATGATAACATGAATTATTATTATTACGTTTTAGAAAGTGAACATATATAATAAGTCTGATTTATAGAAGAAAACAGAGGAAAAACAAGTATGCTTATGTGTACACCATAGTTACCTACATAGACTATGACAATAATGAATCCATAATGTTGAAATGAATCACACCTTATAACAAACTGTACTTCATGAGAAAAAACAAACAAACAAAACAATTGAAGTCAAACATGAGTAAACAAAAGGTTTATATATATATGTATATATATATGTACGAAAATTGCCAAAAAAAGATTTTCGAAAGTGCCTGTCATACTTACTACTTTTACACAGAAATTTTTAGGAAATGAACAAACTGTCGGTTTTGCAAAAAAAAGAAGAGATAATTCAACAATGCTAAACATATTTCATATATCATAATGCTTAAAAAGTAAGATAAAAATAAAAAAATGAAACTAAAGCAACATATGAAACAAAAAGAAAAATAATGTTACATTACAACAATTGTACGAATGCAAATGAATACAACATTCAAAAAGCAATATATACCCAATTTGTATATTCAAACTAATGTATATATATATATATATATATATATATATATGAGCGTGAGTGTAATAGACATCATAATTATCAATTGAATTACAATCGAAAGTACTCCACTTATTATTTTTTTCAAAAATTAATATCTATCGAAAATCGAAGGGGGGCGGGGAGAAAAGGAAAGTTGTGATGATATTAAAAAGCACAACCGACTTTAAAAAGGGTGTGTGTTTCTTTTCTTTTTATTAAAAAAGTTAATAATGGTTATTATTATTATTACTATTATTATTAATATTATGATCATTATGAAATCATGAATGTGATGAGGAAAAAACACAAATGATGAAAACAGTAATATTTATTATAACATAACTGTTTTCAATCAACTGCCCCATAAAATTATACAATTTACTCACAAAGTGATGATAATGATAAGCAGAGATAATGAATTCAAAGAGTGATAATGGATTTTATACGGCATAGTTGGTTTTATTCTTCCAATGATTATTAAGTGTACACACACATATACATACACACACACACACAATAAGCATTGATGACTGACTACTGGTTGTTTAATATTCTTCACAATGAAGATGAAATATAAATAATCAGCAGAAAAAGAATAAAACAGAAATATTCTTCTTTTTTTGTTTTTTGAAAAAAAATATTACACATTTACAGCATTTGTTTATGCTAGAATTTTGTATTTTTGGAAAGCATTTTCTCTTTGTCGATCATATTGTCGGTATCTGTTAATAATATTGTAGTAAATGCTTTGATTTCGTTCCCTTTAATTTATTGTTCACTTTAAAATCATTCATTAAATAGAAGATAGGGGAACTTCAAGAAAACAACATAGGATTCTACACACATGTGGATATATATATATATATATATATATATGAATTTCTCAACAAAACAACTGATTAGATAAAATTCAGAAAATAAACAAGACAAAGGAAAATGGGTGATAAAAATGATACCATTTGAAATAACTATGTATTACTGGTGCAGTATGAGTTATTTGTTACTTCCTTTTTTTAAAATTCAAAAACACTACCAGAATGGACGAAATCTATTTGAAAAAAAGGAATGAATGAAATCGGAATTCAAGTTTAAAAATATATAGAAACATGGTTTATATTAATGTTATTTTAATCAATTTTACTATTCGTAAACAGTTAGTTCACCACTGACACTTATAGTTTACTAGTATTTGATCATATGTATCTTCGAAACATCACATGTGTACTTTAGGATCAACGTACTATGTAAAGATGGTAAGTCAGTTTATGAGGCAGTGAATCTTTATCAATTGTGATAGTTGAAATATGTACTATATCTACTGCCAACAAATATGTGAGGTGCATACTGGTGTGCGAGTAAATTAGAAGACAGTTAGGAGCGGACAAACCAAGACGCGGCATCATTTCACAGTCATTTATCATCGGACTGTGTTGTGTACATAGATGTAGATTACCTGGTTAGGGTCTGTATGCTTCCTATAATCAATAGTTAGAGATTATGGATGACGTGGCTCGAAAGTTTCCATAGTAGTTCGGATTGATTGGCTTTTTCATTCGATAAACTCGTACTTTTTGCTCTACTCGCACTATCTAAGGTTGATGCTTTCGACTACCACTAATACTGGTACTAAGTCTACTACTCTGAGATTTGTCCTGATAATTAAATCTTGCTGTATGAAGCTTGAATCAATGAACTGTTGTCCCAAGTTATAAATCGCTTATTGCTAACTGATTATTATTATTTACACATTTTTTGCATGTTGTAAACACTTTACCTCTGAAAAGGTAGAAAATTACTGCTGAAAATTTTCACACTATAATAAATGATTTTCTAGTATACTAAATTAGTTTTTCTGTTCACTTTATTATAACAAAATTTAGGATAGGAAACATAGTAAATGATACACTGATATACGATGTTGTCATAAGCTCTTTTTTATTTAGCTCTTTCATGTTCAACAACTCAAATTCCAAGTGAATTGTGCCACTATATATAATACATAGGATGAAACTTCTTTCAGTAGAATTATCAATGATTTAGGATTATCGGCTAACCGGTTCAAATAAAAAGCTTAGAATACTTGGTCTTATAAATCTCCATTGTTGATTTGCACACAAATGTGTAGAAATATCGCAGCTACCAATGGACTTATGAAGAGAACGAATCAGGATATACAAGTGGTTACTGAGGTATTCGAGAAGTTTAAAATAAACACTTAATGATGAAAAACTGTATCTTTGTTTCATATTTACCAAATATAACTGATATATTTGATATAATGATTGGGAAAATGTTGGATTAATTGACTCTTGAAATTTAGTAACATTTGTTTAAATTTCGACTAAACTCCATCCAATCCAGAATTATTTACAACTGAGATTTCTGTGAAGCATTTTCGTTACATAATAGGGAGCACAGAGTTCACTCTATAAAGACTACAAGCATCTCATTAGTGTTCTTCAAGCTAAGTATGGTAACTGCTAATCGTTGTAGAAATCAGACACTTTGACCTTATTTTTTTAATTAACTTTCGATGTCCAGTATGTTGAAAAGTAATAAGAATAGGGTGGCAGATGTAAGATCAAGCCTGCTCATAAATTCATCACACAATAATGATTTCGACTACATAGAGTTCGCGAAATTGTATAAAACAGATAAAGAACCAATGAGATGAAAAATAACACAAAAGTACCATAGTGAAACTGGAAGTTATTGATTTTACGGATTCATGTGGAGTAATCTGCAATATGTTTACAGAAACCACCAACTTCAGTATTTCTACGAATAAGGTGACAAATAATCGATAAGCTGAATCGCATCTCACATCCTTAGGCTAAACTTTATTTATACTAGGGCACTATGTTAAGATTATGACTGACTAACAAGGTTTGGAATAATATGAAGTATAATTGAACTTACCAACCTTGTAATTGACTCACCTAAGTAGTTTGCATCATAGACGTTAATTGGAGTTGAGCTTCAGTTAGCCTTAACTTTTCTCTTAAGTTAAATAATTCTTGTTCGTTAAGTAGAAATTTACTAGGGTCCTGTTTTTTGTTTATACTGATTGAACACGAAAACTAGTTAAAGTGTAGAGAAAATACAAAAACAAGGAAGAGACAGATATGAAAATTAATGACATTAATCAATATGAGATTGATGAATGAACAATAAATCTGTGAAAAATAACCCAGTATCATACTTGTAAGTTGTATTCAACACATATTGTGTGCTGTTGTAGTCTCACACTCGAACGAAGTAACTGTCCATCGCTCTTTGGCTTTTAATTGTATACAAACTGAGATTATTCTGTGACAACTTACAAATTAAACCGATTTACATGAAATCTCTTCAACCAGTATGATATACTAGATGGCTAATATCCAGAGTCACACTACAATAGTTTATCACGTTAATTTTGCCTATAAACAATTGTGAAATAATTCCGCACTTCAGAAGTAAAAGCTAAAAATATACTACACATCAACTGAATTAAAACCGTTAGTCAATTTAGTAAACCTAGCTGTGTATGTGATTTGATTTTGGTATAGCTTACACAAATGAAAGGTTCGTGCACGACACTGATGATAACGATCAACATGCGCATCACTGTTTGTTATTCAAAAGAAATATCTGTTTTAAATAAAATTTACTAAGCCGACTGCGTGACGTCACCAATATCAGTAGACTATAACAAAAAAATAATTTCTTTGACCATCTGGTATCCAGAAATGCTCAAAATGTCGCAGGCTCACCTGATGAACGCAAGGATTGTATTCAATAAAAGCAGCTTTTGTTAAGCAGAGATTTTGACAGTGTTATACATCCTTATACTAAGGGAAGCACAAAAATACAAAATTGGTTCACACAAAAGTCTTTTTTTCCCAGTCAGTTATACTAGTAAGTATTAAATAAAAGTTACAAGAGTGTTAATAACTTAAGTTAGATTGATTTTCTATGCTTATTAGAAAAAATCCTAATTTTTTGCATACTGAACTGAATTTCATTTTTATACTATGGTGTAGTCACTAGTGGCAGAATACTACCAGTCAGAAAATAATGGGGATTGTTTAAAAATGAATAAAATCAGATAACAGTTTTGCCTGGTTTAGACGAACTATCTAGCGTTGACATTCTATACCAGCTGTAGGTAAGTGTCTAACATTTGAGTTAACTAAATACCAATAATGAGACGGCCCCTTACTAGAACTACTAGAACTCATTTTGAATATGGTCACTCGTGAGTATTAACCACTGAAATCCAACCAAATAGTTTAGAAGAAATCCTCTTATAGAGAGTTCCGGGCTCTAAATATACACTGAAGAAAAATCTCAAATTAGAAAACAAAACATATCAATTGAGCCGTAATTTTCCATGTTGTAAACAATCTTTAAGAATGTGTGAGCTATTGGATTAGGTATAAAACAAGATATCAAAAATATTTAACAGTCTGATAACAATGTCTTTGTCTGCATCCACTTATATTACATAAACCGTTTCTTCAAAAATATTGCTTCTTAATAAACTTTAACAGATTCAAGAAGTTCACAAAAGTTCATTAATTATTACTTTTGTTTAAAAAGATAGTACTGTTAGGTAATTAGACTATAACATCAAGAGATCCAACCAGATTTAAGTTTCGTGCTACTTTTCAGCAAAGTCTACTCGTATTTTTTAGGAAACTAATGCTCTCAGTGGGACTCGAACGTATATCACCTAGCTTCATAGTCTGAGATGTTACTACCGAGGTATTCAGAACGCAATTAACCTTCTATAAGACTTATATATTTATGGCTAATTGATTGTTCAGTAGTGATCAATTTTATGTTTGTTTAGTCCTTTGGTAATGATTAAATTTAATGGATTATAAAAATAATTTTCAATATAACTTTAGATTATGTTCGAGTTCAATAAACCGATTACGTTAGACCAATTAGTGATACCATATACATTGTAAAAACAATTCAACTATTATATATACGAACCCAATGTCAAATTGTATACAAAAAAAACGATCTTAACTTACAGTTTGTTTATTTTGCTCATTATTATCTTTACTACTAGGACTATTCATTGATGAAGTAAATATTGTTGTATTTTGTTCTATACCAGTTGAATTATTATTATTACGTAATTGTAAATTCATAATGAATAAACGAAGATGTGCTATTTCCATATCATTTTGTGTTAAACAAGAATTAATCCAATTATCTAATGAATTAATCAATCTTATACATAATTGAATTTGTTCAATTAATTCATAATTTTGAATCATTTGATAATTATTTTCATTTAATAAATTTAAAATATTATTTAATTGAGTATATAATTCTTTAATGAATGCTGGAGTTTGTGAAGATTTTCTTAGAATTATACTATTGTTATTATCATTATTAATATTCATTTCATTTAAATGACCATTTGTTAATGTTGGATCATGTTGAATTTGTATAAATTGATCCATTAAATCACTATAACGATCTTGAAATGCTTTCAAAAGATTACGTACAGCAATACAAACTGGTGAATTGCATGAACCAACTGGTATCTATATTTATAATTAAAGAAAAGAAAAGGGATATAAAACAAGAGTTGACTTTTTAGAAATTATATTGATGAATAAAAAATAAGGATTAACTTATTGTTATGAATTCAACATAGTTTATATGCGCTTATTAATCGGATCTTTAAATTATATTGTTCACTGATAAGAAGTCTACATTAAGCTAAATAGTACAGTGAACCTTGATTCGATCAATAGCAAAAGGATAGCCAACAACAATAACTGAGATCTAAACGTCTGTTAGTTTATACACCTACTTACATCCCCGATGGTCAACCAAAATGTATAGACAATAAACCAATTTACTTTTAATTAACATTACTTAAAAACTTACAGGATTATATATAACAACTAGATAACCACAACGCACCACAAATAGTTTGTATATAACCAGGTCATAATAGGTGATAAAAAAGCTGAGTACTAGGTGCTTGATTAATTAATGGTAATTTATGGATAGTGTAATATATATATATATATATATATATATATATATATATATATATCAGTAGTTATTGAAATAAATGAAAGCTTATAATTAAAATATGAAAAAAAGTTACACAATAAAAATAGAAATAATAATTCACCATAGAATAGTTCTAAAAGCCTCATTTTTTCTCCCAATTCTTTGTTTATATCGAACATATAAGAAAAACACTATCAGAACTAAATGAATATCGTACTGTGCTATAGTTAGTTTACAGTTTTCAATCACCTGACCTAATACTGTTATTATAGTGAAGTACATGTATACACATAATAACAAGCATCTTTGCATATAATGATGAATGTATTCAATGGAAATTTATTTCCAATTCCGATTAATGTTTATTTTTACAATCGATATATATGTACTAACAGTAGAATATTTAAGACAAAAATAGGATTAATTCGGTTTATTGAATTAGATCTTTTAATAAAATACAAAAAAATGGTTTAGATTGTAGATTGTAATTTTAAACTGAAATCAACTAGTATTAAAAAAAATTCTTTTTGTCCTGTCATAAAGTCTTTCAGAGAAGCTTATACTTCTTGTATTTTACTAAATTCAATGATGATTACTTATCCTTCTAGAGCATATTATTTCTAGAAAGTTATGCTATTAAACTACATTGAATCATCCTGTATGGATACAGTTCTTTCTATGAACATAAAGACAAGTGAAAAAGCGATAAACCTATTTTGTACTGTATATTTTTTGGTTAAGATCATGAGTCAGTTGAAGCTAGACCACCATGGAAAATCTGGGAGCACTGGACGGCCATTTCGTCCTATTGTGAGGCTCCTCAGCAGTTCGCATCCACGACCCCGCCCCCCTGCGAGATTCGAACCAGTGCTTCCAGGTTTTCCATGGTGGTCTAGCTTCAACTGACTCATGAACTTAACCATTGAAATTACTATAATATCCACAAAACCCATCTGATATTTAGAATTGTTCATTTGATTGAGAATAAAACTTTTTAATAACTCATATGTTTGTTAATCATTAATATAGTTGGCATATTGTGTCATTTACCATTCAGTGTACAAAATATATATTAAAGAACTTTGAACCATGTAATCGGATAAATTAACCAGACATTATCTTAAAATATAAATTGCTAAATACTCTCTCCATATTGGTTAGTCATATTACAATAAAATATTGGCTGTGATAATCACAAAACTTTGTTGATTAGACTAATAGAATAAAACAATCGATATTTTTCGTTTCAAATTGGTTTGATTGGCTTTATTATCAACGCCTTAGTTGGACTAATATAACGAAAAACAGTGTTAACAAGATTACAGTTTGTTAAGGACAAGTAAATAAATTAGTAATTTACATATAAGAAGAAAATACTAAATGAAAGTTTTTTTATGGGTAACTACAATCAAGTGTTTATATGAAAAATGAAAAAGAATGCTATGAATATGCTACTCTTAATTTAGACAGTAAACTATCAATATTTCACTGTTTTAGTTTTATGCTGAAACATTTAACAAAACTACTGATACTTCTTTGTTTTGTAAGTTTCTTCAAATACATTCATTGAATTTGTTTTAGGTTTAAAAAAACAAAATTATTTATAGGTTGTGTTTGTCACAGATTGATCTCAGTTGAGGTACCACTGAAAATCAGGGAGCAGTGACCAGTTTTTCCGTCTCTAGAAAGAGGCTCCTCACCGGAGGCAAATCACAACTTATTCATGGATGAAGCCAAGAACATTCGAGTCTTGCGATGAACATTTAATCTTTAAAATCATTGGGTCAGCGACATATAGTACACTTTCAACTTTAATCAATTTGTTATCTATCACGACGATCATCTAACATGATTGATTACAAGTATTTCACTTGTTACATGTCTAAACCATAACGGTTAGGTATTCTCCCTTGAATTTCAGGAACATCTTGATCCAAGTCACTAGTGGGATGACTAATTATTTATTTCGAAAAAAACATCAACAGAAAGAAATTTTATTGAGATGTTTTGTAATTCTGTTTTTGTTCATAAGAACTATGGAATAAGAGATATTGTCAGTTAACACCGAAATCAATTAATTATAAGCATTCTCTAGGACGAGTTCAAATAAGAAAAAGAAAGTATTACCTTGCTTAACACAAAATGTGTGAGCACTAATCTACAAGAGTTATGTGGACATGACATTGTTTGCGAAGAAAGTTACCTGGTGATAATTACAGTAGTAATATTTTTAACCACAAATGACAGAAATAAACCATCACAGTAACAATGTCTAAAGACCTGTACAATCTACTGTACTGATGACTGTCCTTATGACCAGTAATTATTGGTTATAATTATTTGACTAAACAAAAAGCTGAACAAATAAATTATTCTAGAATGATATGAAACTCAGCTTAGCAATCTAACATCCGTTTAAACGGATATACTATTAGAAAACATAATATCTTAGAATAGATAGACTGTGACTAGCAGTAGTAACCAGGCAGTTCATTTAAACTTATCTGGGACTTGTCAGTAGGATATACTCTGCACATGCCAGAATTGATTTTTATATTAAGATTTAAGTCCAGTACCTTTTGTTTCAAAAGCCAAAATATCATGCAAATAGTCACTAAGTTCAGACAGTCACTTAGTTGTTCAATGAGTATAATGTCTATGTGATTATTGGTAAGGGTCTGAATTACCCAGCTGTTGATATTCACGACTGCATAATAGTTTCCTATGAAATTAGAAGCTAGATGCTCATTTGTGGTACAACGAATATTCATAAAGACGAAAAAAAGCAATATGAAAATAATTAAATACGATCTGTATTAGTTAATCAGACAAAAAATAATTGGAAATCAATTATTTCTTTTGGATACTTTTCTACATTATTCCTATTGATCTAAAGGAACTAGCCTATCAAATAAAAAAGTCAGTCAGATAAAAACCGATAAACAAAGAAACAATAACAAATTTCTGTATATGAGATAAAATTCAAACTAAATTTTCGTTTTACTAACCATTAATTCATCTCAATAAAAAAAACGTTATGAAATGAGAAAGCTTATAGGTAAAACATGAGTCATCAGTGTTATGGACTTTATATAAATAAAAATAAAAAAACGATAAAATATGCGTCCGTCAATTTGTAGAGCATCTTCTTCATGATGTTGAACAAAAGTTCAATATTAAGCATTTCTGTCATTCATTTATTGGATACGTTGCATATAAAAGTATAATTATCACTGAAGAATTCATTTCATGTTCTAACTTTCACTTTGTCTGCTTTCTTCATCTGGTAAGTTACGATGCGCTACAGTAGGATGTTTACAGTAGATATATGTAAACAGTTTCAGATGATTAAAATGAAGTCCTCAGTGAAAATTAAACTCTTATATGCACACTGACCAACTAAGTAAATAGGAAAATGCTCGAAAATGTTAGATATCACACTTTTATTGAACATCAAAAAAAAGGATCACTAATTTCACACTAAAGAATCATATGACTATTATTTATCAACATAAATTTGACTAATTTTGTATATAAATTGAGTAATAACATATAATGAAACAATCTAAGAAGTATTATGATAAAAATTACGTAATCTCTATAGTAATACTATTTTTCCAATCGCTGAGACAAAAGCATAACATTGAAATAATAAGATTATATTTTATTGACAATAAAGTAGTTAGGAAATTCATTACATTATGAAGTAATAATTATGCAAGCTCAAGAGACTTAAGTAAACACAACTACATTGAGTGACGCATTATTCGATCTACATAAACCTGTATCAAAGCCAAAGAAACTTAGTGACCATAGGTATATCGAGAGATATTTTGTTCATCGTGAGAATATATAGTATTGTTATCATTTCCCCATATATTGACCAATATAATATAATTTAAAAAAAAACAACAAATAAATGCATTTAAATACAAACTGTACATAATACGCATCGAATCCATGAATTTGTTGAAAAGTTCAAAACATTAATATTTGTAGTCGCTGTGATTTGATTGAAATTAGGAAATCAACTATCAGGTGACAACTTGGGGGGGGGGGAACTTTACAAAATAGATGACTTTGAGCGACTCTTAAGGTGACTCTGCAAAATTATATCCAGTTATTAGCCAATAGGGATACAGGTGATATGAGTGAACGGTTTATTACAGAAAACAAAAGAAATCAGATTGTCTATAAACGTTTTATATGACTATTAGGATATTCAAAATAGGTTTGGGAGTTAAGATTAGGAACTGAGGTTAGGATTGTGAATTATAGGATGCTTTATAGTCACATGAATAAATACTTACACAATGAATTCTGATTCTGAATTATCACCTTCTAAAAGTTCATAAATCATGTTAAAATGTTAACTTAAATTTGATTGGCTCGTCGGCATAGTATAGTTCTAACGACAAATCAGTGGCTGGAAGATCTTGTCCTCGCCTCGATATTTAAAGATCTTGAGTTAAGTTTCATGGGATCCTGTAGGTGTGTACTACTGTAATACTATAGTAATCTATAGTAATACTATTATTCCAATCGCTAAGACGAAAGCATAACTGTTAAGGAAAAAATAGCTTGTGACTAAATGGAAGTGCCGAAGTAATTTATCCATGATATACATTTTTTAGTAGATACTGATTGATTGTAATCCTTAACATGAACGATAGAGAAATCCAAATCCTTACAAACTAGGTGAAGTGTGTGTGCCATTAATCCTAATTCATTTTATTTGGTGGAAGTTTCTCACCCAGATCGCACTATTAATGTCGTAAAGCATTATTCGCCAAAAGTTTCTTGCCCGAATTCAATGTCTAATGTATATAACCCTAATTCGCGTCACTTTATAAGGACGCGCACTAGGCGTTGAAACTTTGGGGCATGGCATTTTTCCCGTTTCTGCCCATTTAGTAAAAATAAATGCGCAAAATATGCAGTAACTTGCCATAAGGAGGGATTTCGCAAACTCATCAAACACTCATTCCATTATCGAACGCCAAAAAGGATCAACTGTGTTCACGCGTTATTAAAATCTAACCCCAAAATGCTCACGCAAGTATTTATCCATTATTGTTAATGATCGTATTATCAAGCTGCATTTGGATACTGAATCCGATAATACTTTGATTCCTCGCAAAACTTGATACGAACTTTATCGGACAAGCATTCGTCCCATTGATGATTGCATAAACAATGCATCAAGCATACCAATCAAAATTTCTGGAATTATCAAATGTACAGTCAAATTTAATGATCTAATGATTAAATCCAAATGCTATATTACTGATGAATCCTTCAATCTATTGAGTCTTGACTGGGTCACAGAATTATAAAGGTTCGATTATGCATTTGATTTTATTTGAAATCCAGATTCGAAATGCTTGATCATCCAGCCTTATTTGCAACCAAGTATCTTCTTATCTTTATATGATGCACAAATGGAAACAGAAATTTTCTAATGATTTTCAAAATGATCACAAGGTGTGGGCACGACCGAGAAAATCATCAGGAATAACCCCGAGTCCAGTCTCACCCAACAGTGTCTCCCCTGCTGAGTCAATGTTCGAAAGGAAGATTCTGACTTCACTTGATAGCATGTATCCACAAAGAAGACGAGATTATAAACCTAAGGCAAAAAGAATTAATCGTCAGTTTCCTAATTGGTTAGCAGTGTATGTAAGAAACTTTTGACAATGGAGACCTGCGTGGGTAGCAGGTGTCATCGTAAGAGTCGGTAACGTGATGTATAAAAATAATGTCAATGCCTGACGCGACACGTAAACCATCTCAGATAAAGAACCCCCTAGCTCAAACTTGCCACTAAATTATTTAATTGATACATTCAGTCTGGAGCGGCAAGTTCAGTGCAGGAGAAGTGATGGCCAAATCCAAAGAGCAAGACCTATTCTTCAGAAGAGAAAGGTGATATGGTAAGTCAATCAGAAGTAGCCTGATGAGGAAGTTAATCAATGGCATTTGGAAGTGACCTAAAGGACAAATGTATTTCATTGGCCAAAAAATGAATTAGTTTCTTAAGGGATGAATTTTTATCCGGTAGCCCACTATACTTTCTCACTTTTTCCTCTGTTCTTTCTCAAATAGTTAGTTATGGGGGGGGGGAAGGTTAGCGCATTATATATCGTGTATCAGTATTAGATTTAGGATACCAGTCGTTACAACAAGAAAAACAAATCATTTTAAACCATAATAAAGATGATAATTTCAATTGTTTGATCTATTGAATTTTCAAAGAGTTGTTTTAATTTTTACAATTATATGTTAACTAGAATTGAAATTTTTCAAATCAACTTGCAAATTTTAAAATTTTTGCAATTTAAATAAATCATTTTTAGAAAAATAAAATGTATACGATTTCATCTAGACAGTATTATTTTACATTATATAATTTCTCTGGTCATAAATATATTTGATAAATTATTCATGTCTATGCACGTATGCATAATTGTCTCCTATTCAAATGACTAGAACTAAGAAATTTCTATACATTTACGTACATCAATGTACTTTAGTTGATAAGGGATGTAGTGGTAGTAGTAGTAGTAGTAGTAGTAGTAGTAGTAGCAGTAGTAGTAGATAAGATAGGATAGAATAGAATAGTGTTATTTTTGCTTAATACTATTAAACCATAAAGTGATTTGTATGCATACTGAAAATATGTCTAAAAAAAGAACCCAAATCTACCATTCCCTTTATGATTATCAATATTAATTTTACCGAGTTCATTGACGTATAAGTCAATAGATATATTATGGTCCCGAAATAAAGTAAACACTTAAATTCAATAAAACATTCAGTACAGTATATTTGTTTAGTTGATAAGAAAATGAATTCTTGACATTAATGCGGAAATTTTAGATATCTGAAATACAAAAGTTTTTAAAGTTGTTAGAATATTTCAAAAACTGTTTGCGCTTTGAACAAATATGGTAAATAAGTGAAATAACTATAAGGAAATAAATGAATTGTAATTAACAGTAGAGTGAAGAACGTATATGTTTCGCCCTACGTTGGACTCGTCAGTTTTATGAATTGGGATTCATGTGTTGAAATTCGCATCAAGACACGAGTCTAATATGTTCCGCTTCCAATGCAAACGCGTTATCCTCTGAGTTATTGAGTTTAGATAACCACTCATACTAAGAATGATGTAAATATGAAAAGGATTATACATCTAATAATGAGTTTATGTGATAGAAAGTAATAATATGGTAACTTACTGTTGTCGATGATGCAGTGACAATTTCACCTGTGTTCTCATAAATAGATCGTTTACGTGGAGAATTCATAGCTTGAACCTCCGAAATCTGTTGTTCTGTTGCCCTTACGTCATGATTTCGTGATGTAGCACGATATTTATCATTATAATTAGCATTTGTAATAAAATCGTTATTCCTAGAGTTACGAGAGCTGCTTCTCTGACGATGACGTCCACGAACGTTAGATAGTTCCAATGGTTTAGACTCTGAGTATTCACGTAGCATATCTTCGTAAAGAGCCTATTTAATATGACATAAAAACAGATAAGAAAACATTCAAAAGATTATTGCTATGAGGGGGGTTTCTAGAGGTTTCTGGACTTAATTATTTTCGTAATTGACTAACCTTAGTTAGACAACCATTGAAAAGTTAGGAAGTACTGGACTGGTAGAGATGTGAGCTTTTCTCCCTAGACCCTTGAATTGGCGAAAAAAGTTTGACTTCATTCGACTTACGATATTGCATAACTACTATCCAATGTAATCATAAGTTGATTACCTCCTGCCTGACCACTGGTGACGGTTAATCACTGGACCTCTGGGAATTACCCCTCTCATCAGTGTAGAAGGTTTATATGGATTGCTGAATTTAATAATTTACATCACATAATGCCTACATTTAGACAACCATTAGGTATATAGTTCGATATTTTGACTTTTCGTTGAAAAATTCCAGTGAACTCAAACTTTCAAAATGAACCACTATTCTTAAAGATCTCTAAACTTAACTCATTAATTTCCACTGATTTACCTCGATTCAAATGAGCTATCACTATTTCAACCTGACCAAGAGTTGGAGAATTCACCCTGATCTCCCGTTTAGACTACTTGTTAATGATGGTAATTGGAGAGTAGTATGAGATCTGGTGAAATAATCCCTTGAAAGTGTTTTCCTTTCATTCAATCACTTTGACTGGTAGTAGACCACTAAATTCCTGATAAGAGTATTCAAGGCATAGTTGAAGTAAACCTCATTAAGTTTTATAAACTTAATAACATTATGGAAACTCGTATCATGTAGCCTGCAGGTTGACATAGTGACAAATCAACCAAGATTTGTAAGAAAGGAGTAACCCCTCTCTTTAACGAGTCGCAGGACTTTTTTAATTCAAACATATAATGAAGCATATGACAAGTAATAATTCATATTCATTTACCCAATGGTAGTAGAATGGCTTATTTAAAAAAAAGTATTTATCTGGGATACTAAAACTGCTTTTGAACCATGTCACTCAACGTATCCAACACCTTTTCGCAGTCACCGCGTGAATCTCTACTATTTGAATCCGTGACATTAGGTTATGTCATTTAAATATATTTGTATAAGTATCATTTACCGCATGTTTAACAAGTTCTGCGAAGAACCGATTATTTTGATACATTATTAGTACACATAATTTTACAGGGTTATTATTTCACATTATATCCTGAGAGGACTTGTATTTGAAAAAAAACAAAATATGAGAACTTCTGTCTAGATTTGAATGAATATTTTCACAATAGTTAGACGTCGAGCTAATGAGAGACGTTGAAATGGAAACTATATCTTTGTAAAACTCTTAGAGATTGAAATTAAATGATATATATAGGTAGTTTAATATACACATCAAGGATTAACTTGTGAACATTGATTTAATACAGAAATATATTATGAAATAAAGTGGTTAGCTACAAAACTTTGTTATTGGAGAAAAAAACAGGATAATAGGACTATTATTTATAGAACAATAACTAGTGGCAAGTAAATCTACTCAACTAACGGTGATTGGAAAGAATACCATATGAACTGTTTCATTATTAATTTTCTTAACCCTAGAATTCTTACTATGGATATGACTATCAATTACTGACGTCAGAGATTGTTGTTATATATACTTCTTTAACTATTATAGGGTATTACCAGTCCTAACTATATTTTAGTTCCCACCATCCGCCGGTGCAAATAGTAGATGTGTAGAGATATGGAAGATAATGAAGAAGCGTAGTAAAAGGAGTAGGCAAGATATCTATTTCCCAACTAAAGGACGCGTATACTGTTCATATATTTGTCCTGTTCTACTATAAGGCTGAAAAACGTGACTTTTTTTAAAGAGAAGATATTCATAGGTTACTAACATTTAGTTGTAGATGTCCTCAAAACATTGCTGACCTATGTTAGGACCATTGAGTGAGAAATATTGGGGTTAAACACAGGGTACAAGGTAAAGATGGCTAATCGGTGGGTGATGTAATTAATCTTCATTGACCGAGGTGGCCGGGGCATGTGTTACATATCCCCAAACACCGCCTACTTCGGCGCTCAGTGCTTCCTGGTGCTGGAGTAAGTTGGGAGGAAGATAAGAGGGAACAAATCAAGAAATAGTATCAGTCCATGAAGTCAATGACTGCTGGACTAACCTATGTCGGTAGGTGCAGACTACCTGGTTCTGGTCAGTGTGGTTATTGTAACCAATGGATGATAAGCCTCAGAATCGGTCGCTGTAACGAAGATCCAGTCACGTTTCATTTTCTTTTAAATTTTGAAATTAAAAATTATCCATAGTTTCTTTTTTAGTAACTTCATTCTTTTTTCGAAACCATATTCCTTTTTTCCTACTACTATTACTACTCCCATTACTCTGGAATTTATCTTAATAATGTCACCTTGTTGTTTCAATAGTGTTGTAGCTTAAACTGATGCACTTATGAGCCAGGTTTCATTTTTCTGATGACTGAAATATTATGACAGGTAGGTCTTAATGTCATAGGTTAATGAATGACATGTGAAATAAATACCTTACATTCCTTTCAACTTTAATCATTTTTATTTCATGTCAAACCTATTTTGTAAGTATACCTTTTATGACATAAAATATCATATATTTCTACTGACCAGTAATTCTGTCTTTCGACATTCATTAATTAGAGCCACTGAACCAGTCAATGTATAAATCGAATCTTTCACTTGATCACATTATCCGTAACATTATTTGAGATGATCGACTGCATAACTCCTATACTGTTCCTTCGTTCTAGCGGATATGAATGCAAAATGCTGCAGCTATCTTACATTCAGTGTGATTTTCTCCTTTTTCTACTTTTAATTTCAAGAAAGATCACTTTTCAACAACAACTTATCGTGTATGATTCTGTACTCAATTATACTATTTTATAACAAAACTTTATTCAACATGAATGTAATATGACAATAGTTAAGTTGCTTCAGAACCGAATGATAAACACATGCCTATAAGGTGAAGCAAAAAACTCACTTGTAAACGTACAATACCACGTTGTGCACCAGTTTCAGCTGCCTGAAGACATGAAACTCGATCAAGTAAAGCTTTATGCTCTGATTCCAACTGGTCTATACGCATAGCTTGATCATGCAACCTTGTTCGATCAAGTAGAGCAGCTTCCGTTAGAGAAGCATTAGTAGCTTGAAGTTTAATAATCTAAACAACAATGATAAAAGAACATTGAAAACAACCGTTTATTTATTTATTTTTTATTGCTATTACTAGCTGATTAGCTAGAAGCGAATATCATAAAGTTTCACAAAAATTATTATCAAACTGTTACTTAATCATTAAAAGTAAATAATTATTTCGTCAATATGTATGAAATTCACTTATAAGTAAATAATTACTGTGATAGCTTAGACGTTAAAAGTATAAATTTGTAGATAAAAGGTTAATACCTAAATGAGAGTTATCACTGAATCGATATTCACGATAATTATCCACCAGTTCTTCAGGTACTGAGTCAGTATCATGACTAAATAATTTAGGCTACAATACAGACTATGTTAACCTTGAAATCGATCATTAATCAGTACACAGACAACTGCTGATGTTCGCATATTATGTTTATTGATAGTTGAAAGATATTGCACCTAACAGGTTGTCATATTCTTAATTATTCCTCTAAGAACTGAAATATTTGAAACTGACTGATCATTGTTCAGTGACAAGTGCCACATATCTCTAATCTTTTAGAGCCGGTCGGATTATATTGATCAGGTTACAATGAGGCCATTAGTCAAAGTGACTTGACATCCCGTTCACTGTGTTGTGATGTTAGGTGCTTGGAGGTAGTTGAAAGAAAACCCTTGACCTAGGTCTTTTTAAATAACGCAGATAGAAAATTCTCATTTTTTCTTCATCGAAACTTTTGTTTAACTGGCTTACTCAATGAATACTTAATTATAAATGAAGTTAAAGCAAAATGATTTTGATCAATTTTACGTTTACGACTTTGATTGTACTGTTTTTTTTAAAACTGAAATCATTTTTGACCTTGATTTCTCAAGTTGACTTCTATAGAAGCGAAAAAATGATTTGTGAAAAAATTGAACTTAAAATCTATAAATTATTAAACAACAGTATATGATAGTGTTTCCTAAAGATCCTAAGAATATTTAAAACTAAAAATACATACATCTGCTTGCAACTCCAAAGCATTCATCATTTCTGAACTGTCGTTTGTAGAGAATTCATGTGAATTTCGTGATATATTCATTTCATAATTTCCATTAGGTGAACCTCGAGAATCCATAGCAACAAGAAGACGTCTTCTCAATGCAGCTTCAGTTCGACGAGCAGCAGAAAGACTAGTTTCCGCGGAACGGGCTTCGGCACGAGAACGCGCTAACTCATCAGTTAGTTCGGTTATACGTCTCTCAAGCTCACGTCGACGTCGTTCAGACAAACTAAGATGTGCGCGGACTAACTCTAAGTCTCCAGTCTGACGTAGTTCTTGCAACTGAGCACTGTAGTATGATGGATTATGTAATGCATTGGATTTTTCTTCATTTTGTTTACCCACACTTCCATATGGATCCATTGAATAAAAATGACTTGGAGAACTGTGTGATGTATGAACTGTACGAGAAAAGTGGAAAAAACATCAAGAGATTAAAGCTTATGAAGATAATAACATGAAGGAGAGGTAAGGCGAAGCAGAAATACTTTAAAGTTTTAAATAACATTTAAAGAATTTGTACTTGATATTTTTTGAGAGACTGTAAAAGAAATTCGAACAACACGAAATATCGATAAACTCGATAACATCTGATTGTTAGATATATGAGTACAATTCTGTTGTTAAACATGATGGACAGTGATGATATGAAAGACAGTGAAGAAACTCATTCACTATATTTTAGTTAAGTGCTCGCGCGCGAGACCAGTAGGACCTGGGTTCGAATCCCGCGGGACGGGATCGTGGATGCGCACTGCTGAGGAGTCCCACAATAGGATGAAACGGCCGTGCAGTGCTTCCAGATTTTCCATGGTGGTCTAGCTTCAAATGACTTATGATCTCAACAATTGAAATTAATAAAATCTCCACAAAAACCCCCTTCTGATATAAGATATCTATGAACTGCAGCAATAGTTAAAAAATGACCATTAAGTATGTATAACATCACAACAACTGAAAAACTAGATGAAATGTCAAATCTTTCATATGAGAAGCTTTTAAATGTAAGACAATGTAATATTAATTAAAAGACTTTATTTATTTCTACAATTCAAAAGCTTAACATTTAAGAATTTCCGTTGGTCCAATGTTTACTGGTTCATTTACTTATTTTATTTTACATAGAACATATAGTAATGTGATGAGAATGGCATATAAGAAAAGTGTGAACACAAAGCTAAACTGATAAACTCCATGAAGAAATAGTAAAAAAGATAATCATCATAACAAACAATTGTTTAGGAAGACAATCAAGAAAAATGTAAGTCGGTCAAAATATATCAGAGTAAGTCAACGAAAATTTTCACCATCATCTTATGCTAAAGTGAGTTGTATGGTATTTACGAAACAAATCATTGTGACAGTAGGCTACAAAAGCATGGAAGTAAAATAACTGTCAAACAGTATTTAAAGTAATAACAATATGTTTCATAATAATGGAATCAAACATCTTAAATATTTATCAACTATAGGTGAGGCTTGTCATGTAATAATACCAACTGAGATACCACTGAAAACCAGAGAGTATTGGATAGCTATTTTGCCCTAGCATAGGGCTTCTCAGCACTGTGTACTCACAATATGGTAATTGAAAGAAACTTATAAACTTCAGACCTTGTAGGGTGCGCTTCACCGTTAAAATGACTGGGTTGGTTTTCAGTGGTACAGAAATTCAACTATATTCGGTTTGCGATATGGAGCGACAATCGTACGACGCCATCTGTGACGGCTGTTTCACTCCTGACATATGTACTATTCAACAATCATGACTTTTTACCTGATGTAAGTCACTAATGAGCTGGTCACTACGTGTTTGTCCTCAGATTCGGCGTTTCGTGGAGTTGGTTTCAAACTTTGGGTCTATATCCCCTGCTGGGTCGTGGATACGCACTAGTAGTATCTGGTTTTCAATGGTATCCCATTTAAGATGAAACCGTATCAATTATAACCTTCAATTTAAAACGATACTTATCAAAACCTTTCATCAGATGTATTAATAAAATATTTTAACTTATTAATATCGACAGAATAACTAAGTTTCCTAATAGAAAGAAGCTCAGGTGACTTCATAGCAAAAAAACTAAGTAGGGTTATTGGGAAAAAAACAGACCACAGTATTTAACTCACATTCACCAGTATTTCCATTAACAATTCGTTCTTCAGTTGTAGATGCACCACGTTGTAATCTACAGAAAGATAACAGAATATTTTGACGTGTTTATTTTAGCTAGGCTTAATTTATAACTTATTTCGTGCTAAGAGTGTGAATGAAATAATATGGATTACCTGTGAGAAGAATCAAAGAAATAATTCAATTGCATTCGGAGTATTCTAGGTAGATTGATTTATTAAATGTTTTAAATAAGTATTAGAACAGTAATACCTATGTTTGGTTGGTTAAATTAATAAAGTATGAACAGTTCCTTCAATATCTCATTCCTGTGAACTTTCAGAAAATTACACCAGATGGTTAAAGTGAAAGTAGATTCTGGCTACCAGATAAACTATGTAAGTTGATTATCAGTAAGTAGACAATTTCATAACCTTGATGAGTTATTTCAGTTTAATTTATTGGATTTCTTTTAATACATCCTTTAGTTAAACGGAATTACTACTAGCGTAAATACTAACTAAACAAATGACCAATTCTTACATTTCCTTGTTTGTTTGTTTCTATAAAAGTCTCATAATCTCCATTTCATTAAAAACAAATCAACCCAGACTAGTGATTTACTAGTTGTTATTGTCTGAAAATACTGAACAAACAACATGATTGAGTGTTAACAACCATTTCAAATAATAATGAATCATTATTTCCATTCAAACATACTAAACTAAGTAATATTATGTAACCGAAAGATAAGCGGTACATAAGTAAATTAATGAAAAAAATTGATTTTTCGTGTTAAAATTTAACAGAATCTACAGTGTTCATATGCAAACGTAACACTGCTAAAATTTTTTTATTTGTTTATCATTTTATGATAATGACGTCATAATTTATGGTGTCTAATTTTGATACTGATATCCAATTTTCCTATAAGCTAGTCAAGCTGGCTCTTCGAAGGGAAAGACAGAGTGAGAAGAAAGTTTACTGACTAAAGTGAATATATATATATATATATATATATATATATCATAGAAAAGTATAACACCAATGGTGTACGTCTCATTATTTCACCGGTCACGTACACATTTCATTTGACTAATACTTGGTTGGCCAAAAATATCAAATTTCACAATTGATTTGATGATAACACCAATGAAGTGAAAATTGTTACTGATATAAAAAAACATTTACTTCATTTAATATACCTGCTAAATTTGATGGGCAGTTTCCATTAATTATTTGATGTTATCAATTATTTTTGGTTTTATTGCTAGTTAACGCTCACACTCATTAATTAGACTTTTCGTTAGCTATTGAGCTTTTTCCATACTTACGTAAATGATCTTTATAGGAATGAATTGTGTATGTGAGCTTAATAAACAAAGTTAATCATATGATACGCATTATAGAGCTGTAGCAGTCTAATATCATTTAGTTGCAATGGCGAAAATAAACACACCCAACATAACTGTTGGGGTGACCCAGAGGATTTCTCGCAAAAGACAAGCAAGGATCAGGAAACACTAAGAATCATTTCATCCAATCAGTGTTCACTTGAAGTTTTAGCCAGAAACATCAAGGAAGTGAAACGTCACATGTAGAGTTTCTGATTGGCTGATTGCTATACTACTACTATGTTTAGTAGCATTCCAGAATCTTCGAGTAACGCGAGGACATTTAAAATATTATAAAAACCCTATATTTTCTGTATCAAAATAAACCTTGGCAGTAAATTACTTCTCGCATACTTTGCGCCTTCTCTCTCGTGTTCAGGTCTCTGTATAGTTCTAGCTTGGGGGTCACAAGAATAGCTTAGGAACCGAGTATAACATTCAAATTTGCAGAACTTATCAAAAACTTCTTTAAATTTTAGGTGGTAAAACAAAGGTTTTGTGTAAGTTTAGATACGGATTACCAGTGGGATCCAGCAAGCCACAATTCGTCATATTTGGGACTCATTAGCTGGATATACCTAAATCTCAATGTTAATCTTCATACAAAAAAATCGAACCTAGTACCCAGCATGTTATTTATTGAGCTGCTAACTTTAAAAAAATACTGGTTTGTTCTAGAAGAATGTTTCATCCTCATTTGTAAATATTTGGATCTTTCCATTTTTAATAATAAACACTAACATTGGAAGGAAGATATATTCAACTAATGATTATTAAATAGTACGTGCGTCCTGAATTCCACTGCTATACATTACTCAACTTTACTTAAAAGCTTCTGATCAGGAAGCAATCTGTTCAACAACAAAAAATAAATTTTAAAAAAAGATTGATAAACAACTGCAATCCTTAATATCAACCAGCCGGATAATAAAAAAAACCTTTGCACAATTGGTTTCGAAAAATCAAGTAATATGATAAGTAAATAGTAAATGATATGAGAGAAATAAATAAATTGTTAATTGTTTTTCTCGTTATTAGAAAAAAGTACCTTTTTATTTCTTTTTTTAAGCTTTCAATTTGACAACGTAAATTTTCTATCAGTTTTTGATCAGCATTATTCTATAGACAGAGAGAGAGAGAGAGAGAGAGAGAGAAAGAGAAAGCGGGGAAAGTAAAAAAAATGTATACAACAATAACAACAGAAAACTGCATTACAAATCATATTTACACTCTAAAAAGGAAATTCTCATTTTTATTCGGAGTGAGGAGGAGTAAAACAACTCAAATATGTTATGAATTTGTTGGTGATTACGGCAACCGTTAAACACGTGATTAGTAATTTGTAAAATAATTATAATAACAATAGTGGTTTGTGAAACAAGTAAAAAATAAGTGAGGTTTAGGGGGGAGTTAGTAATATTTTATAATTATGTTTAATGTAAATTTATTCACAAAAAGTTCATTTAGTCCAATACAGAGATTAGCATTTGAAAAAAACCTCGTCACAAAATTGTTTTTTAATAGGACAAACTCAATAAATTTCATTGGAATCATGAACCGATCTAAGTTAGACCACCACTAGAAATTAGAAGCGCTGCACGGCCGTTTTGTCCTAGTATAGGACTCATAAAAACTATGTCGCCACGACCTCACCATAGGCGATCGAACCCAGAACTTCCGGTCTGGTGCTCGAACGCTTAACCTCGAGACCTCTGACGTGACACCCAGCGAAGTTAATGTCTAACCTCGATCGTCAATGAGCACTAATGCAGTGTCCCACAATAGGACAAAATGGTCGTCTAGTGCTTCCACATTTTCTAAGGTTGTTCTAGATCGATCCATGATTTAAATGTAATTCAAGTATCTTCAAAAGCCTATACCGAAAATTTGATAAATGACTAAATAAAAATCTTAATAAAACTGCGTCAAAAAATAGTTGAGGGTAAGTAGTATAAAAACAGTGAGAGGTTGGAAATATTGACACCGTGTTTACTAGATCTTTCAGGTTTAAAAAACAGGCATTGGACCCTGAAAATTCCCATACAACAACAGACCACAAATACAAAAAACACATTTTTTTCAGTGATTAAGACCATTTAACTGTAGAGATATGGTCCAACGATAACAATGAGACGATAAAAAGTCAACCCTTGTAAAGACCGTAACCACAGCTAATGGTGTTCAGTAAAAATGTAAAATAAAGGTGCACTTCAGAAGAAAAACTAATCTATTTCTTTGTTATACCAATCACCTCAGAATATGAACATTTCGTATTCGCTAATTGCTGTCGATATTTCAATATGTATTCTGATACTGTTTTATGTGATATAGTAGTAAATAGAACAGATGGTTCAATAAAATAAGCTAGCTTCAATTGTGTCACTACATTGTCCGGTAGCATATTTAAATTCTTCTCAAATATAATTGATGGATGATATAGATCGGCATTATTGTTATTATTAATATTATCGCTTCCTTGATACACATTCCCACTTGTACTACAACAATGAATATCATCTGACATCAGGCACCAGATATACATAAGATCGTAATTGACGTAATTTGAATATGACCAATTACATCGAATTTCTTCTAGTTTGCGCAAAAATACACGAGGACAACTTCTATTATAATTCTTTATACTTATATAATTCATTCTCTTATTACTTTTTGTCGATGAAGTAATATTTAATATATAAGATAGTTTATTAATAATAGTTCCACAATTTGTTGATTTTGGATTTGCATCATACCATTGCATAATGGCAGCTAAATAAACACGAGACCAAAATGTACCATTATTTAAATCAGTTGAATTAAATTTAACAGGTAACCATAGTTTAATATTTATTGATTTTTGTTTAACTAATTGTTGTAAACCAGATTTAAAATGATTAATTAAACTATTATGAAATAATAACGTCATTAGTTCATCTTTTTGTTTTAATGCATGAAACCATAAATATTGAACAGATAATTGTTGTGAATGATAATCATTGAATATTTTCACTTTATTATAAGGCCATAAACCTGTCATTAACCATTCTGCATAACACATTTCATAAATATGATATAAAAGATGATTCAAAGTTTCATTATCATCACATAGTATACTATCACCTTTAGATGGTCCAGTAATAGAACAATTTGTTATACTACTCATAATAACACTATAATTAAAACCATATATTGGTGAATTTGTTGATTGTGATTCATGTATTAAACAATATGATTCAAATTGTACTGACATTAATATTCGAAATATTAATATGAATAAATAAATTTTACTATGATGATTTGTATTAGAACATATAGTATTTAAACGTTTCAATACTTGAGGATTAATACAATTTAATAATTGATCTAGAAATAATGCATTTTGGTTATTATTTACAATTGGTTGTATAATCATTTCCCATATACGATATTTTAATTGAATAAATAATTGTAATAATTGACTTGTTACATAACTAAGATCTAGAATAGGTTCAGTTATATATTGATATAATGATGTTGTTGTAATAATTGTTGTTGTATAATTTGATAAGGATAATAAATAATTTATAGCATCTACAAAACTATTATATATTTTAATTATTAATGTTAAATTATATGGTGTTAATATTAAATTTGTATATAATATACGTAAATATATTAAATTATATATTTCATTTGTTCGACATAATGAACCATTTACGATAGATGGTATTAATTCAAATATAGAATCTTTATTTAATTTATTATTAAGAAATTTAACAGTTAGATTAGTAGTTAAACGAAATTTTATTTTTTGTAATGTATGATTTGATAAATTTATTAAATCAATAAATGAATAAATCCATTCTATATGAAATGGTTGTAATAAAATTAAACCTTCATAAATTATTTGACTAAACCATAAATGATTATGTAATAATTTTTCATTACAAAATTTATTAAATTCATTAAAAAAATAATCATTATTATCATTATGATGATGATTATTATTGGTATGATGAAAATAATTTATCAATAATTTTTTTATAAATGATATAATACGTGTATAATGTTGCCTTGGAGATAATTGTTCAGTATCCATATAAATACATATTAGGCATAATAATAAATTATTACAAAATTGATGGATATTAATTTTATAATGTAATGGGATTTTAATAATAGAAAGTTGATTAAGATTATCAGTAGTAGTATTGTTGAGACTATTAGTAGTACTATTACTATTACGTTTTATCCGAATAGAGTTAGTATTATTACTATAATTGTCTGAATTTAAATCATAATTCCATATATCGTATGTTTGTAAAATAAACTGTGTCAATGTAAATATATTCAAATCATTTAAGTTTGAATATGAAAGTTTATTGAAATTTTTCCCATATTCTTTTTGTAATGAATTAAACAATGATGAAGCGAATTTATACGAATGATTAATAGATTGTTGTTGACAAGGATTATACATAAGTGATTTATTGGTTTCTTTCAATGTTGAATTATATCCAAGTACTTTTGAATGAGTTAAATAAGATGTTTTTTTCATTTGTAAAGGATATTGTTTAACATTTGTGGAACTATTATTCTTCGAAAGATTAACATCATATTTTATACTGTATAATATTAAAGATTCTAATTGTAGCTGAAAAGTATTGTTTTCGAATTGATTCTGATCACAGTCAACAGTTGATGGTATAGTTTTATCAAGAGAAGTCTGAGTAGAACAGTTGAGCATATTTTGTTGATTTGTTTGACAAGCTATTGATATTTTTGTATGATTTATTGAAGCAGGAAACTTAGACAATTCGTTTCTTAATTGTTCGATATCAGTAATTAATCTATTCACTGATTCATTTGTTGGATTTTTTAGTTTATCATTAGTTGATCCTTTTTGACTATTATTATTATTATTAATATCGGTCGTTGTTGGTATTAAGCTTTTAGGATTTTCAAGAACTACTGTATCTCGACGTAAAGCAATTTTTGATGACTTTAAATGATCCGACTTATTAATATTATTCTTAGCAGGTTGTTCTGATAAAATAACATTTCCCTGGTTTTGTTTATTATCATTTATCATATGCTTATTATTAGACTTGGATTTAATATCCAAACTATTACCATGATCGGTCAAATTTGAACTAGAAGGATGTTCTTCATTAACCCTTAGGTTTTTAATTTTACTACAACTGGCATCATTAACTGAACTTTCAAATTCATGTTTATTAGTAGTTTTTCGCTCGGTACTACTGACTTTTGGAAGATTTTCAGTTTCAGAAACATTCTTCGAATCAGTGGATTTACTTGGCACACTTGTCGTCGGTTTAGTCTCTTTCTGTGAGGGTGCTGTTTCATTTGTCGACAAAAGAGTGTCAGAACTCTTAGTGTTGTTGTTCTTGTTGGAGGAGTCCTTCACAGGTGCACTAATGTTTTCTGGCATAGTTTTCTTGTTTTGGACATCTTTAGTAGTAGAGCTAGTAGTATCAGTGATCTTGGGAGTGTTCGACTGCATTAGATTTCATTGACTCAGCTGTTTTTGTTGACGTATTCGCTTCATGTGAAGAACTGGTCTTTGAGTCTGACTCTTTCTTGCTTGGTTGAGTGTCAGGTTTTACTACATTACTAATTGTGTTGCTTTCGTTATGAGTAGTGGCCACATTATTTTTAGCTGAAGCCTCACTTTCATGCTTATTAGTAGTTTTTCGCTCGATACTACTGACTTTTGGAAGATTTTCAGTTTCAGCAACATTCTTCGAATCAGTGGATTTACTTGGCACACTTGTCGTCGGTTTAGTCTCTTTCTGTGAGGGTACTGTTTCATTTGTCGACAAAAGAGTGTCAGAACTCTTAGTGTTGTTGTTCTTGTTGGAGGAGTCCTTCACAGGTGTACTAATGTTTTCTGGCATAGTTTTCTTGTTTTGGACATCTTTAGTAGTAGAGCTAGTAGTATCAGTGATATTGGGAGTGTTGACTGCATTAGATTTCATTGACTCAGCTGTTTTTGTTGACGTATTCGCTTCATGTGAAGAACTGGTCTTTGAGTCTGACTCTTTCTTGCTTGGTTGAGTGTCAGGTTTTACTACATTACTAATTGTGTTGCTTTCGTTATGAGTAGTGGCCACATTATT